ATATTACTTCAAATAATTATATTGTTTAATTATATTATGTAATAATAATAATAATGATAATAATATATATATTTGAATAAGTGAATATATATGCAATTAAGATGAAATAATTTCATTTTTTAATAATATATTTATATAATTTATATATTTTTGTATATTTCATGCATAAAAGTCAAACTCACAACAATATAATGTTATATAAATTACATATATTTTATGACATATATTATTACTTTAATTATATTGTTTAATTATTATTTGTATGTTATGTTAGAATAGAATAGTGTATTCTAAGCTGTATACAGTTAGTAGTAAGCTGGTATTTATTCAGATCATAGCTTTCTTTCATTAATTGATCTTATTCTGTGAATGTTGGGTTTCTCGGCTCTATTGCTTTCCTGTCGTGACTCTCAAACACCTGGACCCATGTGAGAACGGTGCCGACTTTGATCCAGGCCCAAGAGACCCTGTTTCCCACCCCTGAATTATGGCTCCAGCACAAACATGAAGAGAAACTATAAATCAAATACGAAATACATTGTGACTGGCAGTAGAAATGAAGCGGAGAAGCAGACAAAAGGACAAAAGAGCAGGGTGATAATGTGAGAAATGCAAGAAACCCATGCTAAATATATATCCGAAAGCACTGAGAATCTCCACTAATCACGAACTCATGTCACTTAGTATGGTGCTAAGTAATCACAATCTTAATGAGCGAACCAGAAAGCACTCCTTGATCTTTTTCAACTGCTGCTTTGTTTTATGATCCAAACAAACAGGAACAGAGCTATTTTTTTCCTTGTTTTTAAAGGAATAGTTCACCCCCCCCCACAGAAACATCATATTAATCCACATGACTCAATTAAAAGTCGATTAACGGATAAACTTTTTCACACAAAGTGTTATTATGGTTTATAAACTCATATTCTGGCAAGAAGCAATGGTTTAAAACATCTTAATGATGAATTATTTGTTTCTTACAAACACGCAGCTTTTCAATTCACAAGACATTAATTGATAAACTGGAGTCATGTGGATTACTTGTGGATTATTGTAATGTTTTTATCAGCTGTTTGGACTCTCATTCTGACGGCACCCATTCACTGCAGAGGATCCATTGGTGAGCAAGTGATGTAATGCTACATTTCACTGAATATGTTCCTGGTGAAGAAACAAATTATTGGATGGCCTGAAAGTGAATACTTTTTCATCAAAAACACCAAACTTTTTTTTTTCAAGACATCACATTATGCAGTTTGTGCATGCATATAAGCATGCAATTAATTCCTACTGAATCACCCTATAGCATGAACTGAGCATATGTCATATTTGTTTTCATGCTGATGTGTGAATGTGAAGAGGATGTGTGCTTTTTTCACCTTGTAGGACTCCAGGGACAAGGGGATCTCTTCTCTCTTGTCAATGTGTAGATTGTTGAAACTCCCCCAGGTCATCCAGACCTCCCCCTCACCAGCAAACCTTCAATCTACTCGTCTCTCTCTCTCTCTCTCTCTCTCTCTGCTCTCCACTAATGGAGGTTGAAGGACTGTCACTCTGGCCTGCATTACAACTTCAAGGGCTTGAACTCTCTTTTCCTCTGTTCTCCAGGAGAACTCCGGCTGGACTCATGTGGATTCTCTGGGAGTGAGTCGGTTCGCATGCAGACAGACACGATATACAGTACATTCCCGCCTGTGCAAGGTAATGATGGGCTGTGTAACTTGACAAGCTACAGTTCCAGAGTATTTCAGCTACAAGCAAAAACATTGCAGCTACACTACTATCTAATAAAAATAAATAAATAACAATAAATAAGTTAACTACATAACTCTCTTGCAATTCATGAGTTGCAATTTGAGTCAAATTGGCCACACCCACAGAACTGGAATTCAGTTTTATTTTAGTACTATTTATGTATTGCAATAGTATTTATGAATTTCACAATAGCTTTTATTTTTGTATTTTCATTTCATTTTAATTTTAGTTTATTTATTTACCTTTAAATTTGCTTCAATTAATAAAAAAATATGTTTTTTAGTTAACAATAACAGTGATGGAATTTACTGCAATTTATTGATTTGCAGAACAATTCAAAGAAATTAAAACTTTTTTGGTTGAACAACATTCCTATATAAATACATTAACATTTTCTATAGGTGGCATTTTAAACATGAATTATTCATATTCATTATGTAATATTATATAACAAGAATCCTAATTATTTAAAATGAATCAACAGTTGAGTTTTACATGTTTTTGTATGAAATATAACACAAATTATCTAAATGATATAAATGTATTAAAAACTGAAATGTCATTGCATTTTAATTACACACACACACACACACACACACACAATACAATTGTATTACACTTTATTATACATTATACAAGCATTGTTGTATTAAAATAATGGAGCAGATACGGATTCACTGTAACTGGATACACAAGTGTTTGTTGAATTAGGTCATTTCATATTTTAAGTGAATTAGCAAATACATTGCACACTTGGTAAGGAGGAGTGCACACTACAATATGCATCTGCAATGACCTTATTTGCCATTGTGACAGTTCAGACTAAAACCTGAATATTTATGACACTGCTTCGCCAGTAATTGAATGATTATCAAAGATTTTCAGCTTCAGCACAACAAAAGGCTTATTCACATTCTGTAAAATTTAGCAGGCCACCGCTGGTTGTTTCTTCAAAGAAGGAGAGGAGTTGTTTTTATCGAGATATGGAATCATTAAAGGGAGCAGCCGCTGCCCCTGCTGTACTGCATCCTTCAAAGAAAATCTATTACCACTTAGTGCAGGCTCTCAGTCTGGGATTCAATTTACTCTGCAGACGAGGATTAAAAAATCATACATTTATTACCCAGTTTAATTTTTCTTCAGTATTGCCCACTGGTTTAAAATTGTTTTAAATCCGTTCATATCGGAACCCTATTGAAACAGCTTTTCAGACTCTCAAATGGAATACAGTATGGCAGGTGGAGCATTTTTATGCCAGTTGTTTTGCAATTGACATACTTGCATTGCATATACTGTAATGCATGATATATTATCTTACAAAAACAATGTTTAGCTAAAATGTCACTTTTGTATTTCTAGGAATGCACAATATATTGGTACCACAATGTAATTTTTTTTTCTTTAATTCAAATTTGTGGGTATCAGCCAATATTTGATGCATGCCTACTTTCCATTTAGAATACCTCTGATGTTGTTTAACATACACTTAAAGTTGATCTTTAAAAACACTAATAATTTAACTGTTAAATAAATATTTATTTTTTATACCTGATATTACACATTTAGAACTGTACTAATTATCCGCGATTGGTCACAGCATGACAATAATCATTGGCTTAGATATTAGTCAGTATTGTAATGTTAGTAAAAAAAAAAAAAATATATATATATAAATCACCTGTAATTTGCCTATTAAATACTACGACATGCATAATTGTTGTTGTTGATTTTTCACAGTAACACTTTTGTAATTCGTATTATAGATTAGATTATAGAATTCATAAAGTTTTGGGGTAGTGTTAAGGCTGGGGTTAGTGGCGGGCCTTCATACATTATTATTATATTTCTTTTTTATAGTACATTTTTGTACGATTCACGTCGTAAAATAGTTTATATAATTTTCTAGTTAATATATATCTAGTTAATAAGTTAATAATTTTCCTGTGAAATCAGGTTGAAAAAGCTGTAATGATCTAACAGAACATTTTACATAAACAGTATTTGTACAGTAAAATACTGTTAAATATTCATATTTTGGAAGTGAAAATGAACATTCATCTTATGTTTTATGGTTAAAAAAAAAAAAAAAACTACACTGACATTCCCACAATTCCGTGTGACATTTGATGGTATTTTGTTTAAATAATTGTGTTTCTTGTCATTTTTTCTAATTAATTTTGTACATTTGGATTTTGTGTTACATCTTATGATGTTTACAGTAATTAACATTTATTGCATTATTTTAGTGCATGTGTGTTACCATGTGTCTCTTTTACCGCCTGTGTTATTACGGTGGATATTGATATATTATAGAGGTGCAAAATAGATGGAATATTAAAATTATATCAGTTAATGACATATAAATTTAAGTTGAGGTATGTAAAACCTAAAATGTTGCTACTGTATTTTTTACAGTAAAGTTCTGGCAACCACAGCTTCCATTTAAATGTAATGGGTTTATTTTTTTACAATGTTTTTTTGGGGGGCATGCGCCGTTAAGGGATTTGCATAAATCATTGCATTGAACTGGATACAAAAACAATGCAGTGCAAGCAAATAAACAACACAAATGTCTAGTGCAATTCATTCTTAGCAAATTCCCCCACAATGTGATTTGCGTGGTCCATAAGAACAGCATTCTGGGACATAAAAGAAACTCCCAAAGATACTCCCAAAGAGCCTAGATCTCGCACAGGCATTGGGATTGACATCAGATGATTCCCTTATCAAAGAAACAAGACGTTTTTTTACTAAAGAGAGTGAGAATCAAAGTGCTGGTCCATTATTTAAGAGGACGCATGGTGGAAAATGTTACAACGCTACTTTTACAGCAATAGACAAGGATACAGACTTCATGATGCTTCGCACAGTTGGATGGCTTGCCGAAAGCAGACTTCTGGTTCGGGAGTGTGCTCATATCAGGAGGCCGCAATCTTTCTTCTTTCTTTCCTCTAAGTGAGCGTCATGATCAGAGGACTTTCTTCCTCTTATAAACAGGCAGGGTAACGCGTCGAAGGGTAACAAGATAGGACTTTCATTCTCTCCCGTCTCGAAAAGTCAGGTTCACTGGCGCTCCGACACGCATCAAGAGCTAAAATCGAGTTAACGTGTTTTCACAGTTCTCCGCCGTTATCGAGGGATAATTAAAGCCTATACACTTGGTTCGCCTGAGTGTCTCTTCAGAGATGAATGTGGACTCACACTGTTAAGTTGCTGTTGCAGGCGCTCAAATTGCCTGTTTGGTGGAATTACCTCAGTGAAGTGTCGCTCACGGTGGCATTCATCTGTATGTAGAACACCACATCTGTGTTTGATTACAGGTTTCAATCCCAGTTTTGCAGTTTCATCTCGAGTATAAAAAAACGCAAGGGAGCGGAACACCCCGGGAAGGAGGAAGCGATGGATAAAGTGAGGAAAAAAGTAAGGGAAAAGAGCCTAGTTTCGATGTAGTCACACTGTCACATTTCATTCTGGTGTTGACTCTTGTCTCCGGTTGAATTCGGGGTAATTGAAAGAGACAGACGCTAAAAATGGCAACGGAAAAGTGAGGCCTGTCAACTCGTGAGCCTTCAGTAAGAGGGGAAAAATCATAGGATGTGTCTTATTAAATGTTTCAGCAGGTCTTGAATGGGCAAATCCTGCAGGGTTGAGACAATAAACTGCTTTGTGATCTTTGCCCATCATCACACCATTGGCGTGTGTGATGCGTTTCCTACCTTTGCCTGCAGACTTGAAAATGTGATGTCAAGTGTCTCTGACTGAAAAAGAAAGAGACAGTGTCTTCAAGGCAGTTGTGTACATACTTCACAGTCAATTCTGATTGGTCAACAGTGACAGTAGCATTGAAAAGGCAGTTGATTTGTAGGGCTGTTTGATAAGTACACTGTACATCAGTTTGGTTTTTGTTTGTTGTGACATATAGATGTGATGAAAAGCTTTGTAGGTCTCCTGATGGCAGTTTTGCATGTTTGATGTGGATCGCTACTTGCACTGAGCATGTAATTGACCCGCTTTACCTTTTGTGGAGATTGATTTATTGGTACAAAATTGCTTTCAATTATTTTCATTAAATTATTAAATTATTTTCATTAAAATACAATCATTTTCCTTTTCCACTGATGTCACATAGATTATTGGATAATGTTAATGATGCAAAATATAACTTTACTATAACTATAATCTGGCAATATTACAGTTTATTTATCCCTCTGGTGCTCTTCGCATGGCGTTTTTATTATTATTTTTGTATTTAATTACATTTTTATTTTTCTTAATTTAAGTTTTTTTTTTTCAATGAAATTAATGTACTATATTTTAGTTTGATAATGTTTTTTTATGCATTATTTTGTATTTTTAGGGGATTTTATGGTACGGAATTATAGTTATGCTGTAGTTATAATCCATTTATTACCTGTTAAAGACTTTTTGAGCATAGACCTGAAACTTAATTAAAATACAATAAAGTTCCTTGTCCACTGATGTCACATAGATTATTGAATAATCTTAACGATGCACAATATATTGGTACTATAACCATAATCAACATTACAGGTTTTTTTTTCACAAAATCAATGAAATTGATGTCAAGTCAAGTCAAGTCAAGTCACCTTCATTATGATCATATTTTCTTGACCTGGTAAGGACTCTAGCGGCTGCATTTTGGACTACCTGTAGCTTGTTTATTGAAGATGCAGGACAACCACCTAGCAGTGCATTACAATGTAATGTAACAATGTAATTATTGTACAATGTACAATGTAATTATTGTACAATGATGTACAATAATTTAGTTTGACAATGTTTTTTTAAATTTAATATTGTGTATTTTATTGTACAAAATTATATTTATGCTGTAGTTATATAAAAAAAAGTTTATATAAGTTTATTGTTATGAAAACAAAAATACTTTTTTCAAAGTTTATATGAAATAGATATTTTCCAAAACATATTTTACTCTAAAACCAAAGACAAAATCAAAAGCCATAAACAATTGTTGTTCCAAATTTGAAATTA